GTCCAGCTGTAGGATTTGCCGTATGCACAGCGATGAATACCATCAAAATGACGATAGTTGCGGATAAGTCGGCGTTTCGGACTTTGGACGACGTCGTCACATTGTACACGCTGGTGAAGGAGGAGTTTTTGAGATTTCAGTCCCTGAGCTTGACGGATTGGACGACTTTCCAGCGCCGGAGTCGCCACGGGTCGGTGGATGGAAGTTTAGACGTGACCCTGAGAGGAACCCCTGAAACAATGACGGCTGCTGTGCAATCGGTTCCGCAGTCGCCAATGCTGCGGAAAGAAATTATTTGAATTTTTTCAAATTGGTGCGGGTTTTTTTTCGTTTTGGCAGTAAAGGACTTTTCGACGTTGCCGCCTTTTTATTCTATTCGATTTTCCTGAAACTCAAAAAAGTTTCTATGTAGCTGTTGCGCGCCTCGCAGACAAAATCTTCAGAATGAATAATTGATGCAAGTAGAGTCTCCGACGTTCACTTTTTCACTCCGATGTACTGTTTTTGATCTCATTGAAATTAAATGGCTTCATAATGGGCTAATGGTTTTACATATTCAGTTGTATACATACAGTATATATTCTACAAAAACCATTTTTTCTGCTGACAGCAACCTTCCTTCAATGCTCCAGCGGATATTTACATCCGTAATCTCTGTAAAAATAATTTTGTTGAATATTTCAAAGTTTGCAGCGTGGGGCCCAATCGCATGCAGGAGTATAGCACGGTTGGATACCATGGGTTTAATATGCAAGCAGAAAAGTTTCCAAGGTACCGAGAGACAAATTTGTTTGTCCTTTTGTCCCTGCTGATTGTCAGTAAAGAATTATCGATGACAAAAAGCTGAATTATTTCTTGGAGAAAATATATTTAAAAAATGTTAATGGTTCATACTTAAAATACTGTACAATGAGCATTAAATATTGGATCAATCATTTTTGTGAGGTGAAAGAGTTTTCATCAAAGTCAAACCTCATTTTTGTTGAAGTTCAAGGGACAATAGAAAAAAGTTGTGCAGTGGGAAAGATGGAAGAATTGCAGGAAACTGTAAATGATGATATTGTGGGCCCTAAATTACTATACTTATGGATTAAGTTATTGACAGGATGCTACATTTTCAGGCTAGGGTTCTTATGAACAGCAGCAATTATGTATAGTCTTTCCCTTCCTTTCAAAATATTATTAATTTTTTATTGCTCTCCTCTTTCTTATGTTGAGAAAATAATAGCCAAAGGCCTCAACAAATTCAAGTTATGGAGCTTTGAGAGGAAAACGTATAATTGGGTTTGAGAGAGGTTTATACTGTATAATGCATTGTTTCCGAGGAAGTTTAGATGGAAATTTGACAAAAAATTGACTTAGGAAAGTTCCAATTATCCTGGGCTTTACTACTGCGGGATAATTATCAATTACCCTATATAGATGAGGACAATAGCTTTTCTCTGCTAAAGTTTTTTTAAATTCAATTTTTGTAGAAACCATCAGAGATATCTGTATCAAAGAAAGTTTCCATTTCTGTTGCCCTTTCCAGGAATGGCAAGTATAATTGATAGATTTGCAGTATTTTTGTTGAGTGGAATAAGCTCTATTGTTCTAACATGAACGCCTTTGCAAGAAGTGATGTTTTGCAGAACAAAGGTTTTCATTGAACAAACTTCGTGATTAAGTCAATTGATTGATGAAGTTCCAAACCAGCATGGCACACGGCGGCAGCATGTGTAGGTACATACAGCAGTCCTGTACATGTTCACAGCAATACAGGTATAACGTATATATATACAGCTGGACTATATATTGGTTATCAATTGAAGGCACTCTAACCCTATCCTGTGGGTCAGGGCTATTTGCAGAATTGCGAAATTATCCATTGCAGAGGTGAACACCGAATATGTATGCAACACAGTATGAGGATGATACATTTCTTCATTTTTTACCTGTTTACAGTACAGTACTGTATATGCGCAGGTCCTCCGCTCCAGCATGTGAAGAACTGTTCTATTACTGTACAGTATAAAGATCCTACGATCAAGCTCTGTGATGTTGAAGCATCTGTATCTTTCCAGGGCTGCGCCTCTGCAGTGCCCGGTGTGTCCAACTCATGCGTGAGCGAGGTCGGAAAAAAATTGCCGCCAGTTTCTGAGGATTACGCGCAGGCTCAGCATCGCTCTGAGCGGTGTGGCGATGAGACGCGAATTTCATTGGTAAACGATCGTTGATATACATTTTAAGCCTTCGAGAAGTGCAAGATAGCCTTCCCGCACAAAAACTTGTCTTGGCGGTTACATTTCTTCTGTATCTAAAAGATTCTACTCATGATCACTATCTGGTTAACCTCAGTAAAGTAAGAAATACTGAGCTTGAAGAGGATGATTTAAAAAATGCTCACTGTATTGAACTTAAGACAGATGACATATTTTTGAATTCATCATTTTTGTGTGTTCAGATATCAACTCGTCGACATTATTTTTCAACTCAAGGTTGTCGTATTTGACTTCTCCGACTTCCTCTTTCAAGTCGTCCACTTTTTGTTTCAGTTTATTGAGAAGGTGGTCCAAGTCGCCGGTCGCTACCGCCTGGTCCTCTTTGTATGATTCCAAATCTCTTTTGACTGTCTAAAAAGTGAAATAATGGTCTTTATTCCCATAAAATTTACCCGAACTAGCATTCTGTGCGAATGTGTTCCTTCTCACGATGTCAGGAATCAGTTTACATACTTGAGCGAGGACTTGTATGTCGGCAATAAGTTCGATGATTTCTTCTTTTTCACTCTTGTCCTTCGGTTCGCTTTGAGCAGCGACGCTCTTCATTTTCGAAGGATCCGTTTGGCTCAGTTTCGTGCAGTTCAATAACATCTGCTTCGGGGAGCAAAATGTCTTCAAATGTTGGAAGTAAGGCCCAACGTTTTCCGCTTCCGTGTTTTGCGATGACGGTGTAAGTTCACTGATTTTGCAAGATACACTGACCGAACAGTTGTACACGCAGTCTCGGCAATTCTCGGCGTCTCGAAGCATGCCTGAGCTTTTGATCTCGATTAAATCTTGAGGTCTGTAAAATTTTCGATTTGAGTGAGATCAACGAAGTTCGGGAGCTTACGTATTTATCCGATTATTGGATTTCCAGATTTTTGCAACGATTTTTGGAGAAGAGTGCATATGATGCAGGAACGGAATTATAAAAAAAGAAACGCGCTCTATGCGCTGATTGATGTCGCGATTTTTGTAGAATAAACAGTATTTTTCATGCACGAACTAGAGGATAATGAAGTGCGGAAGCTCAGGCATTTTTCACTTTTAAGGCACACGAGAACAAAGGAACATGCTGGGAAGACTTCGGAGATTTTTTAACGCTCTGGAATATAGGTTGAACATGCGGCGTAGCCTTTCCTCAAAAATCCCAGGTTTAAGCTGTACATTATTCGAGTTTTTGGTCGCACGTTTTGCGCCCAAAAAAGGATAATTTAGAGAATTACGGCCATTATTCGAGTAAATGGTGGTGATCAAGTTTATTGTACCGGCGAACGATTTCTCGAGGTTCCATACTGTACAACTGAATGAGACTCAAGTGTCGTTCACCTTAGAATCAAGAGAGTCCGTTGCATGAACGGAAATCGACTGGTCGAGTCATGATTCGCTTCGGCTGGTCGATTTGCTCGCAGTTTTGTGACTTCTCTCTCGACTGAACTTACTAGGCACATGGAGTCAAATAGCTCCTTGTATTTTGCTTCATGTTCTTTTAATTTGAAAATTGGAGTAGTCTCGTACTGCACGTAAAGTCGAGGTGCTTGTGAGTTTCCGTTGTTACTCGGGACTTCCATTCCGCACGCCAACTTCATACAAGTTCTGGCTGTTTGAGTGTACATTTTTGCGAAGGACCGGATCGACTGGAAGTAATTGTCGTCGTTGTCATTTTTCATCCGGTCCATAGTCGCGATCTGCACTTGCCTCGTGATGATTCTGTTCGATACACAGTCGTAAATTTGGATTGCTTGCTGTGGTGAGCATACGATGATGATCACGTTTTAGCCGGTGAGTAGACACTCCTTCTTATTAAATCTCTGCGCAAATATGATGTGAACAATTTTTGCGGCGAGAAAAAGAAAAGTGTTGAAACTGTGGAAGCGGAGATCCGTTTATGCCTTCTTGCCGCAACTTGCTTGGACATGACTTTCCCACCGTTCCACTCATTAATTTTGGAAATCGAATCAACAAGAATCAATGGAAATGAAGAGTATTCTACATTAAACCGCGTACCACAAAGGCGCCCATCAAACTTAAATTGGAGGCAGTCACGTTACAGCTTTGTTTCCTAAATAATATTATCATTAACTCATGTTATCATTGTGCTACAGAGGATAAGTTCACTGCATGATTTGAGCACAATTCAGAAAACCAGAAAATGTGCAGAAATGCAACAGTTCCGGAAGCTAATGTTGACCTTATCTCAGATGCGTCGAATTATTTATTTCTCCATATTAGTTTTTGCTTTGTTTGTCAAAGGAATTCGAGGAGATATGTAATGAAAAAAATAATTGGTTGGCTGAATCTCAAATCTACATTTATTCCGCGAATGTCTTTAATCTAGAATTTTTTGGGTCAACGGTTAAGTCGAACTTCAAGGTATCAGGAAACAATTTTATTTGGGAGTTTTTTGAGTTAGGGAAACATGCATGTTTTTGCGGAAAGAAGAAAAATTACGGGAAATTGTTATTGGTGATCCTGTACCAATTAAATTCTTGGCCTCAAATTGCTTCTTAGATGACTTGACAGGATGCTGAACTTGAGGCATGGGAAAATCGGGCACTGGTGATTGGATCGTCGGTTGATCGATTTTCTACTACAGTACTGTATTTTATATATTCGAAAAAAAGAGGATAATCACGCACCTTCCGGAAGATTTGAATTCCCCGTACGCCAGCCACGCCAACTGGAACAGTTTGCATGTTTGAGGAAATACCAATACACCGGGTATTTCCCAGGGTTCATCGCTCATAACTCAAATTAAAGATTCACACTCAAACGCGCTTAAGGGGATTGGCTCCCAGATTAACGAACCGCTCTGCTTCCCCGTTTTGGAAATGCGCAATGGCTCGGAAAGTCTTCGTGACCAAGGTTAGCTGTTGCCACGTTGCAATTTGTCAGGCAGGTCGTCGTCATGGAGAAGGAATTCAGGCGACGTTCCGTGAGCGAAAATCGTAGTTCACGTCGAAAATGTCTTTTTGAATGCAATAAACGTTCGGGGGAATTTTCTTGGGGGGGCTCAATTCTTGACAAGCGATACGTTCGATGAATAATAGTACACTGCGGCAATGGCTTCAATTTTTTTTTTTACTTCAGGGGATTGTGATGGAATGCGTGTGAC